AGTGAAGACAGAGATTCAAGACTTCTTCAACCTCCCAATGGAAGAGAAGAAAAAGTACTGGCAAAATCCAGGAGAAGTAGAAGGATTTGGGCAAGCCTTTGTTGTATCAGATGAGCAAAAGCTTGATTGGGGTGACATGTTCTTCTTGACCACCCTCCCTGTCTATTCCAGGAAGCCCCACTTATTTCCCAAGCTCCCTCTTCCTTTCAGGTCCTTTTTCTCTCTCTCTCAATGTGCCTAAGCATCTGCAATTTCGATTGGTTCTAACTCAAAACTTAGTTTCTTATATTTAGAGAAACATTGAATCAATACTCTTTGGAGTTGGAAAAACTAGCAATGGCTATCCTACTACAAATAGCAAAAGCTATTAATATGAACATTGAGGAAATGAGAGAGTTCTTTGAAGGTGGATTGCAATCAATAAGAATGAACTATTATCCTCCATGTGGTGAACCAGAGCAGGTAATTGGCCTTACTCCTCATTCTGATGCCTCGGGTCTCACCATCCTGCTTCAGGTCAATGAAGTAGAAGGTCTCCAGGTTAAGAAAGATGGGAAATGGGTTCCTGTCAAGCCCCTCCGCAATGCTTTCATTGTCAACATCGGAGACGTTTTAGAGGTAAAATGCTTCTGATTTTTTCATATCAGAGACCAGTATTAAAAATAGTTCGTGAGTAAAGCTTTAGTGAATTGTTATACGTATGACAGGTTATTACCAATGGAGCCTACCGTAGCATCGAGCATCGAGCAACAGTGAATTCTGAAAAAGAAAGACTCTCGATTGCCACATTCTACAACCCCAACTACAATGGAGAAGTAGGGCCTGCACCAAGCTTGATCTCTGAAGGAAAACAGGCATTGTTTAGGAGAGTTCGAGTAGAAGACTACTTGAAAACCCTATTTGATCGTAAGCTTCATGAAAAATCTCATCTTGATTCAATGAGAATATAGCATTTTGGATGTCAAAATGCTGTCCCTTTGGATTATATATAGCGCTGTGATACAAGATATGCATTGGCCTTGGACAACTAGAATCAGTCCCTCCTTCTTTGGCCCTCCTTGGACTGCAATGGGCACAATTCATGCCCAAGGTTTAGCTGTTTTAATAATGAATTTATATGTGATGCATCGATAATATATAAGTTTTATAAATTGTTATATTATTAATAATTCGATTTTATTTATATTTAAAATTAACTTGAACATTTTAATTTTAAATGCAAGCAATTCTAAGAATTTGAAACTTTTAAGGGAAAAATGGAAAACTAACCAATAAAAAATTATAGAAAGCAGGATCATTGTCTTTCTTATAATTTTTTTCTTAACATTGATGCTGCCATTAAACCCAATCTAAGAAGAAAATCTCACTTGGTTCTTCTTTATGATGGGATAAGGTTAAAATTCACCACTTTGTTTAGATCAATAGATCAAAATTTACCGTTAATCTTGAATAGGTACAATTTCATCGCTGTATTTTTTGATTTGGTTCAAAAATAATCAAATATTAATGGTAAAAGAATAATTTATGTGAAGGAATTAAGAAATGTTCTACAAAAATATTCTAGTATAATTTGATCATTTTTGAACCAAATCAAGAACTATGATGATGAAGCTACCCGTATTTAAAAATGAATTATAAATCTGATCCAATCATCCAATTAAAGTGGTAAATTTATTCTAATGTAGGGCATTTAAATTAATATAAAAAGTTTAATTAAGTGATTAAATTGCTCTAAATTCATGTATTAAAATTTGGAAATTTTCCCAAAGAATCTTTAGTATTTGTTTAATCCTAGTTGGAAAATAAATCCAGAATTTTAACAACAATTGAGCACACGAAACATGGTAACTTGCTTGGACCAATGTATGGGTACCCTGGAAATAAGGTCAGTTGAAAAATGGATTTTTCTTATATACGCAAGTCAAGCCAAGAGCAATAAACTCTTCCATTACTCGGTGGGGCTTCCCGTTTCATCATCAACCGACAAAAATCCTAGATTTCCAGAAGGATTAGCTAGAAACTCACTTGACTGTTGCTCTAGTTTCCAGAATGAAAATCAAATTGATACTATCAGAGTTTGATACCATTATATATCTCAGCAAACTTACTTAAAAACCTCAACTGGGTTAACCAGGAAAGCTGTATCCATCTCCTGTTTTTTCTGTGGCAGAAACATGGAATCAAAAGCTTCCACAGTGGGAAGTACTCTGCCTGTGCCTTGTGTTCAAGAGTTGGCTAAAGAACCCTTCACCACCATTGCAAACAGATACCTACGCCCTTACCTTGAAGAAGCTGCGGTTTCTGATGGTCGTCAGGTGCTGCAGATCCCGGTTATTGATATGCAGTGATGGGTTTCTTCAGAATCCATGGATTCTGAAGTAGCCAAGCTTGATGTTGCTTGTAAACGTAAATGCCTGAAAGCAATTAAATCCTTCGTTTTTGTTCTGAACATAACCGTATGCTGTGTGATGGGAGCATTATTCTCTCCCAAAAAACTTAACACCATAAACTGTGCTGTGCTTGTAAATTTTTTCAAAATCTTTGTATCTATATGATATAAGATTGAAGCACATTACTTATTTTATCTGAAATGTTTGATGTGACATTCTTTTTGAATTAATAGTTCTCTTATTGTCGTTGGTCAGTCCACCTACTCCACTCTGGAAATGCTTAGTATGGTGTAGGTTAGATCCATATTGATATTATTTGATCATGAAACCATTTTCTCAAGAAATTAACCTATGGTGCCTAACGTTTATGCGACACCAACACATTTTGATGACATTACACTAGTTAATTCTTTTTTGTTTGATAGCTTAGTGGGGAGACATAATTCAATCTTCTTGTTTTATTAGCTATTTAATCTTTCGTTTTATTTTTTGTTTTTGCTAACAATATTTTTTGCATCCATAATGCAAAATTGGATTATTTTATATTAGGATTTGAGTTAGTATTTTCTCTGTTTCCTTCCCAGGATCTCTCCTCTGTACAATCTGATTATTTTAAGAAATAAAAATCTTACTTAAATTGGAATCCCTTGATTTTCCTTTTCTTTTGGTTTAGGAAACAAGTTGTGATTAACAGGTTCGTTGGCTGATATTTGATGCTCAAATGAAGTCAATGGAGCTTGTGGAACCCATTAGATAATTGAGTTTTTTGACTTCCTTCACTTGTGAGAAAGAAAGAGATACAATCTTTAAGGAAACACTCAACACTTAAACATAAACTATTTCAATTTAAAAGTCTCGAATTTGAATCTTAAAAAATAAAAAATATCATTCATGAATTTGAAAAAGAGTTACCTTCACATTGATAAATCTTAATGAATAAAAGGAAAATTTTTTTCCAAGAGAATTGAATTGCATACGGCAAGCATTCACTAACCGCGTTGCAACAATAAGTCACCTCTTATTCTTTTGGGTTAATTTCTGATATGGTCTTTATGAATAGAATATGCTCAATTTGATATCTAAACTAAAAATATATAACTTCTGTTTGCCAATATGCCCAACTTGTTAACACCGTTAATGCTACAGCTTGTTAAATTCCTGCAGTTAGTATATCATGGAGTGAGCTTATCTTTGTTGGGAGAAAGTAGACAGAGATTTGGGACTTCTTCAACCTCCCAATGGAAGAGAAGGAAGTTCTGGCAATATCTTTGACAAGCCTTTGTTGCAGCCGATGATCAAAAGCTTGATCGAGGTGACATCTTCTACATGATCACCTTTCCTGTCCATTTTAGGAGACCTCACTTGTTCCCCAACTCCCTCTTCCTTTGAGGTCCTCTCCCTTTACATTCTTTTGCATGTCAATGCATGTATTCTGAGTAATTGGCTTTAACTCAACTACTTATTTTGCTATATATGTTAATGTAGAGATACAATGGAGCTTTGCTCGTCTGAGTTAAAAGACCTATCATCCATGGCTATCCTAGCAAAGATGGCACAAGTTCTTAGTATGAGAGCTGAGGAAATGGAGGTGTTCTTTGACCAGGGGAGCAGTCAACAAGGGTGAACTATTACCCTCCATGTCATCTGCCTGACCAGGTTCATGCCCTAACCCCTCATTCTGATGCCTCAGCTGTAACCATTTTGCCTCAGGTCAATGAAGTAGAAGGCCTCCAGATAAGGAAAGATGGGAAGCGGGTTCCTGTACTTAAACCCCTTCCAAATGCCTTCATTGTCAACATTGGAGACGTTTTAGAGGTAAATAATTATCACAAAAAGGTCGAGACTTTACAATTGAAGTAGCCTTTCTAAGGTCACCAATATCAATTGAGCCAGCATTAACTCTATAATTAGTTTCTGATACGACCATAAGTTTTTGTGCCTGTGTGTGTTTGAAGAAACAAGAACTCGTTCATGATGCTTCTGTGAATTCTTATATGGCAGATTATTACTAAGGAATGTACAGTAGCATTGAATATGCCATCAGTGAACCTTTTAGAAATCCAAAACATAGATACTTTATACATACTTATAACCTGATTACATAACCTTAATAAGAAAGGAACAACTGTTGTCATCATTCTGCATGTTCATCTATGTTCTTAAGACGTAAGTCACTTCTTTTTTAAATTAGTTCCCATGCATATTTAGATAGTTAAGTTAGGGGCAGAGGAGATATAACTCAAGACTTATCGAAGGCAAGGTTTGGTTAACATAAGGTTAACATCAGCCATTCACAAAGCCCAAGTTGGAGTTCAGAAAATTTGGTAAGCCAGATAAGGAATATTTTCCTAGTGAAATTGAGATTTAGGTAACAACTATTACTTTCACATTATTTTCACTTTTTGGGAAATCGTTACCCCAAGCTAAAGCAACTAATGAGAGCAAGGCATATATAATTTAAATTACTAATATCAGCTAGTTAATATTCAGCAATGTTATTCCCTGAAGTCAATTAATAAGAGCAAGGCATAAGGATTACTAAGAGAAGTGACTGCATACGTAAGTCCATGCATGATGTTGTTTGATTTGTTGTAAGTCCATGCATGATGTTGTTTGATTTGTTGGGCTTTTTTCCGATAATTGGCTGATCCACTTTAATTCCACTAGGTAACTTTCCCTGTCGAGAAGAAAAAGAAAAGAATCTTCATATGAAGATTTTCTAGGATACCTAGCTGAGTAACTTCCATTTACAGCAAATCAAATTTTGCAATAACTCTGCTCTAATTAGATCAGTCCACAAATCATTTTATGAGCGAGAAATGAACATGCTTTAAATAAGATGCAATCTTATAAGATCTATGGAATTTGCTACCAATGCACAGCTCCACTATTCAGAGGCAACTTTGCAAAAAAATGAGAATGCTAGCGTGAAATTTTGTATATTTCACAACCAGTGATGTAATAATAAATTTTGTATTCAATCTGCAAGCTGAAAGTGCACCCGAGCATTTAGTTCATCAGTTGGAACATGATCCCCTGCCTAACAAACAGTGTTTGAATCTCCCTTCTTGCAATTACAATAAAAACAAAAAAAAACCCAGCGTGCTGAAAGTCAATGCATTCATTTTTTCTGTAGATCATAACACTTAAATTATCAGTAGAACTATGATAATACTCATTTAATACCCTCCTTTTCAAATGTAGATGACAATAAAAACAAGTAGTAACTTACAGAACTTGCCTTACACCAGCTGAGATATTCAACTGCTCCAAAATATCAAAGTTTGAGCAATCTTGCTTGCTTGATATCTCACAAACCGAATGGTAAGGCACCATTGTCTCCCAACACAAGCCAAAGGATAGTTCAAAACTATTTCTAATAATTACTAGCTTACCTCTAGTCCATTGCCTTCAAAAGTGCTCAGAACAGGTTAACATATTGCATAACATCAGGTAAAGGAAAATACATAGATCTCCTGCGAAAATCTGCTCACACCAAAGCCAATTTGAAATGAGAATGACATTGCTCACAGTTTTAAGCATGCCCATAAAATAGTATTGAGGTTTTTGAGTGATCCTTAACTTTTTCAGAATTCAATTCCAAACAACCTGCCAAAAGCATAAATTTTAACTTAAGCAGAATTTGATCCATGCAGAAGGATATCACCATTTTCCTGTGCTCAGGTATTAGGCTCAATTATTCTTAGACCTTTACATTCTTTTTCACACTTAAAAGGCAAAGACAGACGCCCCCTTCCCCTGTTGTAAGCTTTCCTCCACTAAGTATACACTTGAAAAGAATGTGGCATTTCATAGTTCAAAATGAATGCTTAAACCATAATGTTTAGCCATCTGTATGTTATATCATATTTTACCATTTAATAGCAAGAGTATTTTCAATAACTTGTGATGGCAGATAGCAAATTCAAAAGATGCAAAGTTAAAGATGCTACTGCCATGATTTAACGTTCACTATGAAGTAGAAAGCAAATATGGTAATCAGTTGTGCATACAAACACATAGAGGATTTGACAATCATTCACATTACTATCAGACTCAATACTTTTGATTTCCAAATAATGTAGTTTTCTATCTAATTATTCTTCAAAACCAACTTCGTTTTAAGATTTTCTGTTTTAAAAAAAAGGGATAGGGATTCTGCATTGAGAGTTCAAATGTGATCCTGATCAACTATTGCCAGGACACATAAGATCACAAATAGAATTATAAATTGCTATAACAAGCTGAAAAATGAAAAGTTTATTTTATCGACATGTGGTTTCTCATTTTAAGTCAAAGAAATATATCCCTATCAATCAACCAATGCATTTCACAAAAGATGTTCCTTCCTCAGAAAATCAAAACATGAATGTTGTTATTGATGTTTATGCCACCTGTTTATCTATATAATTCAAAGTATACAAATTTTAAACAAGACAAAGAAGAGAAACAAAATATACAAATAGGAGCATGCCTAAAAGCTAAGAATAAAAACTTTTGCAACCGCCGTAATTAATTTCCTTATGAGAAAATATTAACTTTCTTTTTTTCATATACCATGAAATCCAAAACTTTGTTTAACATACAAGAATGTTGCAAAACAGTTTCTAATAAATGATAAGCTACAGCTACAAGCAATCAAGATAATCTTACAACAACCTTGTTCTTCTTGCCTGCAGATAAAAGAAGAACTTTCCCATCCACGATGTCTTCAGCCTCTATTCTTTTACTTTCATTGTCCACTCTATTGTTGTTCAAGTAGAGGCCTCCTTGCTTCAATAGACGACGAGCAGCAGATTTGCTCTCAACCAAGCCAGAACAAACTGAAAGATCAACAATGGAAAGATTCACCACTTGATTGTAAGGCAAGGAGCAAGAAGGAACATCCTCAGCAATCCCTTCAATAGTTTTCCAATCCAATTTTGTCTCCGATCCAGGCCTCAATGCTTCAGTTGCCTTAAGAGCCTCATTCAAACCATCTGCACCATGAACAAAACGAGTAACTTCCTCAGCAAGCCTCTGCTGGGCTGTATTGGGCACATAGCCCGGTCTAGTCATTGCACTCTCCAACTCATTTATCTCTTCCATACTCAGGAAAGTAAGAATTTTGAGAAACCTCACCACATCTGCATCTGGAACAGAGAAGAAATACTGGTAAAATTTATATGGAGACAACATAGACGGTGAAAGCCAAATTGCACCATCTTCCGATTTCCCAAACTTGGTACCATCACTCTTCAACAAAAGAGGGAATGTCAACCCATAAGCTCCTTCAGCTTGTAAAATTTTCCTTATCAACTCAGTCCCAGCAGTAATATTACCCCACTGATCACTCCCACCAATTTGTACGCTAACATTTTCATTCTTAAAAAGGTATAAAAAGTCATAACCTTGCAACAATTGATAAGTAAACTCAGTATAGCTCATTCCTTGTTCTGATTCCAACCTCTTCTTAACACTCTCCTTACTCATCATACTCCCAACCCTCGCATATCGGCCAACTTGTTTAAGAAAATCAAGCAACCTAACCTCTTTCCACCAATCATAATTATTTAAAATCACAAAGTTTGAGTTTTCTTGAGAACCCAAATTTGCATTTTTACTCAGAATCTTATTTATAGTATCCATAATCCCAACAATGTTTTTTTCCAATGATATCAAATCAAGTTCAGGTCTTTCTTGGCTTTTTCCAGAAGGGTCACCAATTCTACCAGTAGCACCACCAATCAAGGCAACTGCTTTATGGCCACATCTTTGGAACCAAGAAAGTACAATGAGCCCCAAAAGGTTTCCCAAATGTAAGCTCTCAGCAGTTGGGTCAAAACCACAGTAAACCTTGAGAGGACCAGCAGTTTGGTCTGAACAAGCCAACCTGAGATTTTCATAGGTTACAGATTCAATCAATCCTCTTTCTTCAAGAATTTTAATAACGTTTGGGGGACTACCCAGTTGAGATTTCGGTTCAATAGTTGGCTGAGGAGTGTTTAGGCTGCAGCTTATGGAAGAAAAGCTTAGATTCTTTAAGGGTCTTTTAGAAGAAGGAATAAACTTGGTGGTAGTAAAGGGAAGGATGAGTTTCCCATGGTGGAAGCAAAGGAAATTCCTTGAAGCCATAAACAGTGTTCTGTTTCAAGGTGACAAAAGAAAAAAAGTTTGAAGCTTTAAGCGATAAACAGTGCCATTCTTTGAATATGAAACAACAACTATGAAGAAAACTGAGAAAGGCTGACCTGAGTGCTGTGGCTTTCCTCTGAGCCTCAAAGCAGCGAGAAGAAATATGGGATGTGGAACAGAAGGATAAGCCGGCTGGGTTTGGAAGAGGAAGAGGAAAAACGAACTCGCGTACACATACAACTTAAACTAATAACTTTGGGCTGAGTGTCTTAGATCTCTAAAGGTTTATTGGCCCATTTATAAGAATTTCGTTTTAATTGCCTTAAAGCCCAAATTTGAAGGCTAATTATAAAAATATTTTCAAGACAAGATAATAAAAATTGTCTCACTACTTTATTTCTATTACACAAAAATTCCTCCTTCATATTCTTTTTTCTTTTTTTTATCAAGCATTATTTTTTAGAGTATTTTATTTATATTTTTAGTTACATCAATAATTATAAATATATATATTAGCATAATGCTTTAAAAGCTCTTGAACCATTCTAGAATATTCAAAAAAAATTATTCTTTTATTACATTCAATCAAGCATTTACATTTTTATGTTGAGTTAAATAAATCTTTACGGACTAACTGCTAAGGGTGAGCATTCAGTTGAATCGGTTAATTGATTTAAGAAATACCATTCATTGAAATTAACTGACCTTCCTAACAAAATTAACTCAATCGAACCGATTTAACGACTTTAATCGACTTTAAATTAACTAGCTTTAGTTGGTTAAATCAGTTTTAATTGAATTTTTTTAACTCTTTTCTATTTTTAATTTATTTAATAATATATTAATAATGTACTTTATGTTACCACATCTTACATTATTACTTATAATTTTACTAATATACTAATATAGTAAAATTAATATGAAATTTTTGACTAATTAGTATATTAATAAGTATACTATATAGTGTACTTGTTATACTATATATTGATTAATTAGTGTATTAATAAGTATACTATGTATAGTGTATTAAGATAAATATTATATAATGTATAGTTGTAAATAATGTATACTGTATCAATATTTACTATATGCAATTAATGTATAATTATATAGTATATATGTATATTGTATTACTATATATTATATATAGTGTATAACTATATACTAATACAATGTATAGTGTATTAATATATTACTATATATAGTTAATATATACTTATATAGTATATAAGTATATGAAGAAGTCATATAACATATATACTATATAATAGTATATTGTTAATAAATATACTATATAATATACATAGTATATTGTTATATATTATAATGTAATAACATTAACTCATTAAGTCATTAATATATCAAAACAAGTTATTATATTTAATTACTACTATAAGTTACGCTATAGTACTATAGTTTATTAATTACTTATAAAAAGTAAATTACTATTCTATAGTCTATATAGACTACATATTGTATATTAATAAGTATGCAATCTAGAGTTTGATATATTATTAACTTAATATAAAAATACGTTAACTTAATAAGTTACATTAATATATTAATATATTGATAACTAAAATTTAGGGTATAGTTTTTGTTATATTTTATATTATGTTTAATTTTAAATAACTATTTGTATATTATATTTATATCAATAATATTAATGTCTAAATTAAGTGTATTTTAATTTTTATTTTTTGATGTCTGATGATTAAATCTAAGTCATTTATTCATACATAAATATAGAAAAAACGTGAAAGTGAATATATGTAAAAAAAGCCTACTTGATGATAATATCTATTCTTTCATATATATATATATATATATATATATATATATATATATATAAACTAGATGAGTGCATATATGTAATAAAAATTGTTACATGAATATTAATTTTGAAATTAACTATTTTGGTTAACCGATTTAAAAAAATTTTAACCGAATCAAATTGATTCAACCGACTTAATCGAACTTTTGAACCAATTTAACCAAATCAATCAAATTAATCGAATTTATTGATTAATTCGATTTTGACCGAATTTTGCTCACACTTATTATTGACCCATTACTTTCAGTTGAATTCGTATTACTTCTTTACTTTCAAAAAAAAAATGTCATGTAATATCAGAAGTTATTCGAGTTGAGTATTTTTTCCTTTTTGTTTTTTTGCTCAAACAAAATGAATGTTATTAATAACTACAAAAGCAAAAGCTTCACGGTTCAAATCTTTGAACTGGAACCAACGTTCAGAAGTTCGCCTGAGAGTACCAGATAAGCGGTGTCCAGTGGGAAAAACCAGCCACTGGAATGAGGAAGGGAACAGTCTGTTCCTCAAGCAAAATATATACAACCAGCATCCAACTCGATACATTGGTCAACTTAGACAAGGAAAACAAGTAAGCTTAAGCATGCAATGATGTCTGCCACTAAGCTGTAGAAGGAAGTTTGCAGAGACGATGAACAAGATTTCATGTTAAATTTAACTACAAGTACTAAGTCCTTAAGGACAGTCTCAGTTCTAACTCATAGCACATAAGGGTTGATTTAACAATTATTACCCTTCCTACGAAGGAAGGAGAAGGAAAGGAATAGCACGAATTTTGGTACAAACATGTTTAAATGCAAAAGAACAACAACAAATTAAAGAGTACTGTAAGATTCCTAAGTACTTACTGGATTTCGAAGTCTATGCTTTTTTGTCTAACAAATCAAACTCCGAGGCCGGAATTACTAAGTTTTTCTTCAAAAAGTTGCTCCATGCGATCAGCAATTAATGAATTTTCGAAATTTATCCAATCTTCCACTTTACCATTCCTGAAAAATGCTGAATTCTTAAACCTAACATCGCTTTGCCCACTCTTGCTCACTTCCAGATTCTTCTGGGTTTCGAAGCTACAAAGTTTTGATATTCCTTCTACACCTCCTTGTCTGATTTCCTCCTCCGAGAAAGGGTAGCGCAAGAAATCAGCCAGCGTCTTCAAGTTGGAAGAAATGTCCTCCTTCAAATCTTCATATTTAAAAAATAAGACTCTTTCAGGAGCCTCCAAGCTCATCCGGCAATACCCTAAAACATGTTCGCAAAATAGACAAAAGATTCCTTTCAAGAACTTGTCAACACCTTCCTCTATTGAAACAGGTTTGACACGTTCATTTCTAGGAAAATGGTTCACAATAAAGTGCCACTCCGAGATGAATTGATCGAGAGGGTTCCTGCAAATTAAGATAAACAATACGACAATTGGATTCAAGGCAATGAACCGTAGGGTGTGTGAGTCGTAAAAATTCTTGGGTTAGGAAAAGTTTCATTTTCAAGATCAGGAGTTTGGTTTTTTGAGTAGACGTCCAAATCAATAAAAGGTACAAGTTCATTGGGGCTTGTGGCAAGTAAAGGGCTTTGCGTGGGTGGAAATTGGTTGCGGTTCACAATGGAGAAGATGAGAGCCTTCAACCACGTGGTGCCTGATTTGGGCATAGTGATTAAGAAGATATCAGTTTCATGCGCTTTGAAGGGGTTTTGAAATGCAATGATTGACTTGGGTACATAGAATGGGCACCAAAAGCCTTGGTATTGGTAGATAGCGGAGCCAACCCAGTCTTTCTCTTGTGGAAGTGTTTGAATCAATTCTTCCATTCGCTTGTCTCCGTCGGAGGAAATGTTTTTGGATGCAGTTTTCTCATCCATAAGAGCAAGCAGATTGAATGAATGTTTGATGGGAAGAAAGCTAGGAGAAATGAATGCCAAATATGGTCCAATGAAGGCGCATATATAAGTTTGATTGTTTGCTGCCCTTCTCTACGGGTCAAATTTGGCACAAATTTATATGATTTTTGAGTTGGAGTGGAAAACATATCTAAAGACAGTGAAAACTCATTGCTCCTCTTTCATTATTTTGTAAATAATTCTCGACTAAATTATGCATCTTAGGCCAGTTGTCACAAGGAAAGTGCATCTATCCCACATCAGACAGGAACGGGAGGTCCTGGGCTCCTTATAAGCGGGTGTGCTGCACACCCCTATAAGCCGGTTTATGGGGGGAGAGAGTAATGACCCTGTGACAAAGTGGTATCAGAGCAGACCGATCCTCGTTCTGACTCACGCCAAGTGCCCGGCCCGGTGGGGCTGGCCTAGTGGGGCCCAACGGGGTAGGCAGGGTGGCCGACGACAACAGGGGCGTTGCCGATTCGGGTGGGTGAGAGTGTCACAAGGAAAGTGCCTCTATCCCACATCAGACAGGAACGGGAGGTCTTGGGCTCCTTATAAGCGGGTGTGCTGCACACCCCTATAAGCCGGTTTATGGGAGAGAAAGTAATGACCCCATGACACAGTGCTGTCGTCCACCCAAACAATTGAGATTTTGCCAAACCGATACATGTGTTAACAACACTACAATTATGAAATATACAAAAGCTACCAAATGATGCATCACCTCTTGTATTTCATTTTCTTTCTTTCTATGTCCCACTTACAATATTCAATAATTTTAGTAGGTAAAATATCCTATTCAACCATAATTGTCATACTTTCATCAAATAAATTCGTAAATATATATATATATATATTCGTTCAAAATAAACGCATCAAAAATCTTAATTCAATTTTAATAATTATATCGTTCCCTCTCAACCTTTAACTATTCTTTTCCCTAAATTCAATCTTACTAAAAATAGCGTTTCTTTTATGAAGCTATGAACATCCACTAATTATACAAACAACCTAATTTTTTTCTGAACCAAACACACACACACACACACAAAAAGGGTTTTCAAGAAATACATCTTCCTTCGCAGGTAAGCTCTGAATCAAACCTCAAAAGTCCAAATTACCATATGTTATATTTTGATTTTATTTTAATTAAAATTATAAATTAATATGTAAATGAGTGAGTTGAAGAAGAAATTTAATTAATTACAATAATTAACAAATATATATTTATTATCACTGCAATATGTATGCAATATCAATAAATTTGTCAATCTTATCATAATCAAAATTTTAAAATATAAAAAAGTAATTAAAGTACTAAATTACCCTAAAACTTTTTGAAAATTTTTATATATTATATATTTTTTCTTTTAATAACCCTTAAAAATAATTTTTATTTAATAATTAATACAAATAAAAAATAATACAAATCATCATACAAGCCTTACTAAACTTTATCCTAATTTAAGTTTCTCCATACATTTTTCTCTCTTTCTCTTATCTTTTGTCCTTTATCACTATGAAAACACACTCCATTCTTCAAGAAAATACAAGGAAGTAAAGTTTTCTTTTATATCCTTCCTTCTATTATTATTATTATTATTATTTATTTGCTCATATATTCTAAGTTTTTATAGATTTTCTTCTCTAAATTTTTACAAACCATCAACCATGTTTTTCTTCTTCCTTTTTTGTTATGTGAATTCTATCTTCTATTTGTCACGTTCTTCTTTTTCTGTTATGTGGATTTTATGTTCTATGATTTTAGTCTTTAAAAATTAAATATTTATTATGTAATTATTTAATATAAATTATAGTGTTACTCTGTTTGTTATTGCTTAAAATTTCATCAATGTATCATTTTTTATTAATCTTGATTATATAAGAAGAAATTATCTTGAATATATATATTTTTCTGTGTTTTACACTTTATATTTTGTCACAACCCAAACCGAGGATCCGTGACCAACACACGAGTCTGGCAGGTGAAGCCTATGAGGCCTTAGAGCAAAATCTTATATCATTAGCCAAGGGATTCCACACAAAGTATTTTCATAACATAATTAAACTCAAATACAAATATTTGACCTTGGCATATCATTCATACTCCATATTTAACACAACATTCACAAGTCATACATTGGCTGTTAAGGTGGGTTTGTATTTACAAATCTTAAATAAATATAAATAGCATGTTGTGCCTACATACATCACAATTATACCAAGTGCGGAAGCTCGTAATAGACTCAGTGGAGTGACCAAATGAGATGGGGACTTACCGGATGCCAAAATTGATCAATCAATGGACAACCTTTACCACGCAATCCTGTGGCTTATTTATTTGCACATGATATAATAAATGGGTGATTCATATAATATTTAGTGAGGGATATAGATAAATAAAACATAGATGTATATACATGTATATACACACACATATTGGATTATCAATGCTGACAAAATGCTCTAACAAGTATCTCCAATATTAAGGGCATATCAGTCATTTCTATGAAATCTCCACAAGTAGTACATATCAACTAGGTTTATCCTTGAAGCCATTCAAAGTTGCACTCCATAAACACACTCTAGTTGCCGAAGTGTCATGTCAAATCAAGTCTATCTCTACCACTCTGAGGCTATGCACATTGATAACTCTATGATATAGAGTTATTTGGATGCAATTTTGATAGTATTTTAACTTAGTTTTTTTAGTAATATATAAAAATTAAGATTCTATTTAATTATTTTAGGTTAGTTAATTTAGGTAAGTCAATCTAATCGTAATTAATGTTATGTTTCATTTGGTGTTAATGTAATTAAGATAGGTTATTGTTGATTTACTTGTGCTTTTGTAGGTGCTTAATGAAGGAAGAATTTTAATGGAAGAAGGAAAGTGATTTTAAAGTGTAAACTTTCATTGCACATGTTTTGGTATTTTAATCATAACTTTATCTACAAAGCTCCAAATGATATGATTCTTAAACAATTGGAAAGAAAAAAGAAAAATATATAACTTTTATGATTACTACTTTGCCCAATTCAATCACCAAAGTGGTCAAAAATCATGTTAAAATTGAAGTACTATAGTAGTCCTAGAGCAATTATGATTTCTACTAATTAATTTGTCAAAGCCATAACTCATGTAGTTTGATGAGAAAATCTTGATTGAAATTGACATCTTTCTTCACTCAACTTGGCCTAACTTTAAAGTCTTATAAAAACAACTTTTCAGAGGACTTTTGGAGAGGATGAGATACTAGATTGACAATTGAGATTCAAGTCACAAAATCGTTGAAAAAGAGTCTCATTGGAGCTAAAAAGAAATTGAAGGATTCAAGAAGATTTAGAAATCAAGAGTTTCACTCTTGGAGTTTCTTTATTCTTTATTTTTCTTAGTTTTGTTTTAATGTTTAAACTTATTTTAATGATAATGTGTGACTTGATGAGGAACTAAATTGTTTATCTAATATTATAATTGAACTCAATACATTGTCTGATTTATTTATCTTTCTTTTACTTATGTTGGATGGACTTGAGTTGTTTATTTTATTCTGTTCTTAATGCTTCTAATTGCCTGATCACCAATTAAATTGAATTGAAAATCTAGGTTAAACCTTAACGAATGAGATTTAAGTAGACTTTGAATTGAATAACGTATGATCGAATACACTTAATTGATTAGGTGATTTGATTTGCATATAGGGTAGACATACACCTATAAGCCATATGTAGCCAGGTTTAAAGCATGAACTTAATGAATCTTTCTTCAATTTAATTTACATAGGCATATGGTAAATTAATTGGGAGAGATATTTTTATGAGAAACTCGACAGAGACTTCTAAATAATTTAGAACTTTAAGTTAACAACTTAATCCATTGAATTGAGTTAAGAGGGAGAAATTAAGGAATATCATAATCTTAGGTTTGATAATCACAGGATGTTAATAAAATAATTTTGCTGATATATTTTAGATTAGTTTTAGTTATTAGTTTAGTAGTTTTAATTTTAATTGTTTAGATAAAATTAAGGTGTGTTAATTTTAGTAGTTAACAGTCAGAATTAATTCAATTCTCTATAGAATCAATACTCTACTCATCACTATATTATCTTTGCAATACGTATACTTATGTGGATAGAAAATTGAACAACACACATCATCCATGATTCAAATCAAATCTTAGAGTGGTCATTTCTATACATAAAAAAATCACACAAGGTGGTCAATTGACGGAGTCAAATCCTCATCCAGAGTAGTCTCAATGAATGGCATCAAATCAACTCACATGCATGCCGATGCAATTAGGTGAAGAACACAGTCATCATCCAGAGTAGTTGTTGCTACGTGTGACATGAAAATTTTCAGGAGTTGTCATTAATCTTTTTTATATCTAAGTGTGATTGGCCACCTATTAAATTTTTCTTATTCGATGAGATCCTAAATTGATTTTGAATTCGTCTAAAAAACCAAACCCGATCTATGAATTTAAGAATTGGGTTCTAGAGTACAATTATACAAGGGGAAGGATTAACACCCCTGTGACACTCATTCAATGAACGATACTAAATAATCATTTGTTATCTTATTTTAACATTATGTTTAGTGTTATTCTTGTGTTTCCTTAATCATTGTTTATTTATTTTTTAATCCTATTTTAATTTATTTGACTACAAACGAATCTTTTTATTGAAGAATATTTTCTGAGTCCTTCCATCTTTCTGGTAAAATACAAGGATATCTTCTCACCAGGAGAATTTATCAAAGAAACTTATCTTTCAAATTTTTCAACAAAAACCTCATCATCGGGATCCTCATTCAATTCGAAAATAAAAATATGCATGATGAATATGAAATGCAAGGATGATGAATGTTACGGATTCCAAATTATTACATACTAATGATGATTACTTATTAAGGGCATTTCTCGAGTTCTCCCATATTTATAGTAAAATTTGGGATTGCCTTCTCACCCAAAGAATTCCTTGAGAAACTTATCTTTTCAAATTTTATGAGAAAATCTCATCATCAAGATCATTATTTGTATGTACGCGTGTCAATGGAGTGCAAGTTCATAATTAATTATTACAATTGACAACATTTTATCGATGCCATTTCCAGGATCTTCCTATCATTCTGGTAAAATTTGAAAATGTCATCTCACCTAGAGAATTCTCTAATGAAACTTATCCTTATAAGCCTCTTGGAGAAATCACATCATCGGGATTGGCAATCATGTACAGAATAAGGGTTGTAGGGCATGATGCATATTATAATTTGTTAAATACGAATAAAAGTCTTGTGTTGAAAACGTTTCCCGGATCCTCTCATCCTTCAAGTAAAATTCGAGACGAAATTCTCACCTAAAGAATTTCTTAGGAAAGCTTATCCTTACAAACTTCTCCAAAAAGATTTGATCATCGAAACCTTGATTCACATGCAAGATATAAAATCGAAATGAATGAAATGACAATTTCAAAAAAAAAATTTGTTATGATGATGGCGCATAGTAATCTAGCTATTATTTTTACTATTCATTTTTGGCAAAGTTAAAATATTATTTTCTATTATTAGAACATTATTCTATTTTTTACTTATTACTATTGTTTATATTATCCAATGTGTTTCCAATAATGATGAATAAAACCTAAATATTCTATCGTGTTATTTTTATAAAAATACAAATATTCAATATTTTTTAGGCATTAACATGATTTATATATATCTTATGCTAAACTATTTCTATTTATTTACTTTTTTTCGCATATCCATTTTTTTTAACCACTTTATTTCATGTGATTAACTACCATATATTGTTCATATATTTTTTAGAAAATAAAAATATTATTGCAAGATTACTAAACAAAAATCCAATAGAAGACATAAACTAACGAAAGGCAAGCCCAATCGCAAGTCAAACCAATATTCAAAGAGGGGTCTATTACATAGCAGATCAGAGCAAGCTCAAGTAAGCTAAGTTATCCAAAGCTTGGTCCACTTCAAGATATCTCGCAGGCTCAATCTAGCTTCAAGGGAAAACGCCACTAGATTTTCTCAACTTAAAACGCACCGTTTGGTGCATTCTTTAGTTTAGTTTGTTTTAATTTTAACTTATTTGTTTTAATTTTGTTTATTTTAGTTTGATCCATTTTTTTCAACTTAACCACATTAGGCCTATTAAAAGGCTCGGACATTTAACCTGCCCAATGGTCCTTTAAATTAGACCCAAACAAAGTCTAGCATCACCATGGTCTAAAAGGATTTAAAAAACCAAGACAATGCCTGAAATTCCAAAGTTCATTGGATATTTAATCGGATTTAAATAAAATAAAATAAAAATAAACAAGATAAAAAAGTATATATGTAAATATTAATTATTTATATTATTTATATATCTATATAATAGTGTTTATAGTAGTTTTTTGAAAGATGGTATTTTTAGTGTAAAAACAGTTAATGGAAATATAAACATTATTCAAAATAATCTCAACGAATGGCATCAAAGCATTACAAGTGGGATTAAATGAGACTAAACCACGGCTCTTACTTACCACCATCCCTACAAGCATATGCATAATCACAAGGCTTGAGACTTCACTTAATCTTAACCTTAAATCCACGTTTAGAATTATCGGATGAATCACAATTCCATAATAAGGGCATCATGCCTTAAGGTGTCATCAATACCACGTCTCATATCCAAGATCTTTCTTTTGAGGTCTAAACATTTCTAACTCAATCTCATCTAGATGCCTTTAACTTTCTAAGGCATCAACTACTCAATATCCTCCTAGGGGTTATTCATCTAGAGTAATCTACTCCTAGATGCCCATAAGATTCACTAGATTTCCTAGTCTAGGCACAATCAAGCATAGACCACTAAGTAGCTTGCTCCAAGGCGCACACACTCACCACATCACATAGATATAATATGTTCTCTAATATAGGCATGTTCATTTAGCCCTACATACATATTCTAATACTATAGTAACGCATCTATCATACGCCATGCATCAGATGCAATTTAATTAAACCCACTCAAAATGACAATCGGAGGCATTCCATATCCAAGTTGAATTAATTATGTAATTAATTGTTAAAACAACTTATGATAATAGTGGAACACTATTTGTGAAGTTTAAAAATTCTTTCGAAGATGACATAATAAATGGAAAAACAAAGTTCATATATATATTTATCTATATTGCTCTGTCACCAATTTTACTTGAATGTTTTAAGAATTTTAAAGTCAAAGAAATTAGACATGTAATAAAAGCATTATTCAACATAAATAAGAATATTTATCACCAAAATCTGACCTCAAACAAAAGAAGCTTATGATATTATTCTTGTACGATTAATTTATTTTATTTAATTGCATCTTCATATTATAAATGTGACACCTATTGCTCTTTTATTTTATCCAAAACCTAGAATCCCTGGAATAATGTTATGTATAATCAGACAAGCATTTTTGTTTTTTATGAAGCTCATGCGAGGTTTGTTTATGTCCGAAAAGCCAGGATAGGCCATTGGCCATAAGATTTTTCGAAAGCCAGGGGAGGCCATGGCCCCACTTGGGTGGGATCCACAAATCAATAAAAAAAAAAGGAATAGAGCTCTGAAATTCATGCAGCAAGTGGCAGTTAGAAATAACATATTCAATCATATTTCATCATACTAATCAGTGAAATTTCTCTACAATTAATTTCTTAATTAAATTATCAAAAGCCCCAACCCAAGGATCAAGTGCATCATCATTGAATCCCGACTCTATCAGCTTATTGGAAATGGTCAAGAAAGGATAAAATCTTAGACTTGTATGGCTGACAGTAAAAATGATTTTATGCAATAATTTCTTGCAAAACAAATCTCTCGACAAAACAATAAATGGTATTAGCATCTTTGGAGAATGGTTATGTTAACTTGTTTGCTCTCTTCCCAGTGCTTAGCCCTCCAATGCACCCAAAGAAAACATTGTCCATGAACCAGAACAAAGTCCGATAGGACAAACTGGATGAGAATATTCATTACTCGTTTTGAAATCTGAGGTTGTTGGATACAAGCAGAGCCCCAAGTGTTTTTCCTTGATGCTTGTTTAATGACTCAAATATTTGACAAAATTAAGGTAATTTATCCTAAATATACCCATTTAAATCCTGTGTGTCAATCTACCTACATTTCCATTAAGGCCTGGTCTCCTGAAAATTTAAGACAATTTATTCACTTATAAAATTCAATGATGCAGCAGCACATAATTACAGGGCATAAATTAGATATCGGAAGAGGACACCTGACACCCCATCCACCCTTGACAAGAAACCCCCAGAGCTACTCTAACCTCACTTTGATGTAGACCGTTCTAGCAGTCAACCACACACCATGGAACCAATCCTAGTTAAGACAGGCCGTACTGAACGGTCCCCAGATTCCTGTGGGCAGCTACAACCACAGCTGCAGCACCAACTGCACCAAACTGGGATTGTGCCTGCAGAAGTTTCGTATCAATGGGTAATCTATCATTTAACTGCTCAGCCTTGGCTTGCGGTTGGTAATAGGGGTTGCTGTTAATGTCAACAACCATCCCAGGAGATGGTTTTGCAGCCATGCTAGACTGCAGTTTGGCTTGTGGATCCCTACCCGCCTGTATTCCAGATTTCTCTTGATTTGGGGTGCCAGTCCTCAGGAAACACTGGGGGGAGACATTCTGTGGAGGAAGGACTGCATTTCTGTAAAAGATCTTTGCGTTGTACCCGTCTTTAACATTTTTTCCATTCTCATATGGTATGACAGATCCAATAACTCTCCCAGGTTTTGCTGTACAAAGGAAAAGGAGAACAGAATCCTGGATCAGCTAATGTTGAAGCAACAAAGGGACATGCATTGCTATAATCGATAACAAGCCTACTCAATGCAGACCTAAGCAAAATGAGCAAAAGTATTTTTAACATTAAAAACCAGAGAATGCCTGAGGAATAAGAGTCTTCAGCAATGTGAAACTTAAGAGATCCAGTTCCAATTTTTAATGGCCACCAAACGCACATATGGCAGATATAGACAGGGAGGCCAGAGAAACCACGTGCAAAAAAGATATTAGTATGACAAACGCTGCTTGGCCAAAAGAAAGCTGAGGTAAAAGAACAGACATTGTTCATACCTGTTGGCACCCTAGGCGGAGGCCGTGCTATCTTTGAATTACCAGAAATTGCATCTATTGCTTTTTTGGAAGCCTCTTCTGTAACTTGTGGATTGTCACATGTTGACTGCGTATTTTGAGGGATGGTATTTGAATGAACTGTAGACCTGCAATTAAACAGAACTCAAGTGGGAAAATTGTATCCAGCAGGGAAGAAAAGGCGCTGATTTCTTTGAGTCGGTATGTCATTCAACTAGGAGAAATTCATAGAAAATGAAGGAATACATTTATTTGGGTTTATGTGATGTAAGTATGGATCTATAATACATGAGTCCGCATTTTTCCTTGCCCCATCTCGAAGCAGCTGAGAGCAATTGCATAACTAACATTTCTTAATTAAAAATATTACGTTATATTAGAAACTGAATTGTCTAAAATGTGTAATACCTTGGGAGGGACATATGCTTCCTCTCCAAAGGGAAAACTGGCGCACTTCGACCTCCATTTTCCTCAAGATATGCGAACTGCTTTCTGAATTGACCGATAGCACTGCAATAAAACCACAATGTAACCAAGCGGGTTAAGAGTGAAAAAATACAAGAAACATGAATATTAATGAAAAATATATTGGGCAATTGTGCAGTATTAAAACCTTGGATAGAGAAAACTGGTTCCTTCATTTCCATTTATATAGTCTTTTAGCAGCTGCGGATGATATTCTAGTATCTCCCTGTATATTAATTCCTTAATGTCCTCCTTTGTTACCCTTCGCCTCTCAAACTCAAACTCTAATTTTGAAATTGGCTGACAAGAAGGTTCCCTCTCAATTTTAGCCAAGCCTTTGAAGTAAGGATCAGCTAATGCCTATTACATTAATACAGAAAAGTTTCAGTATGATGAACCAAAAAGAACACAGAAACTCTTATGACAGAATATAGACACGTATAAGACAGCTTCATTCATAATTGACTGGATTGCATCTAGAGAATACCATATTTACGGCATGAAAAAAAAAAAAAAACAACACACCTCTTCAGCAGTTGGCCGGTCCTTTGGATCAAATGCTAACAGCCTCTGCAATAGCCGTAGTGCTGACCGGTCTGCATTTGGAAATTTTTGTGAAAATGGCACAGAATGTTTTCTCCGCATTTCTGTCAAGTATTTTCTTGCTTTCTCATTTCGAACCTGCAATTATGTGAAATAAATATCACCAATTCACACTCTAGAAACGAACAGCAAAGTAGGCCTCAAGGAAACAAACAAACACACACACACACAAGCAAAGGGGAAGAGAGAGAGAGAGAGAGCAAGATGCCATACTCCAGAAATGGTTTCTGGTGCAGGTGTCCCCAAAAGATCAGTGATCAATTCTAATTGATGAGCAACACTTTTGCCAGGAAAGAGGGGCTTCCCTGTCAATACCTCAGCGAAGATGCATCCAATGCTCCAAATATCAATAGCTGGTGTATACTGCAGACAGTTGCCAACAAAAATCAGACGTAATAAGTAAATTTAAAAGTTCACACCCCAAGTAAAGCACTCTAGAGAAACAGACATAACCTGACACAGTTACCTGAATGACAGATATTTCAACTTCCAGGAGAGTTCATAGTCCTCCCTGAACAACAATTATTTTAATCTAGGCATTACTGCTTACTAAAAATCACTCAAGTATTCTTTACATAATAAAAAATGTGTTGATTTGCTAAGTATGACATAGCTCAAACAATACATGGTAACTTGATAAGTGTCCTCCGGTATTCAGCATATCCAAAATTAAATTTAATATAACATTAAAACCAAATGATATATAAAAATAAAAGGTATACAAAAAAATTTTTAAAAAGGAAATTGACACACTAAGCTTATAAGTGAACTAGAAGATGCTTCATGGTTTGAACTTGACTGCAAGTAGCAGACAGCCAAACAACAAATCTGTGCCAAGCTTTTGGTCCATGACACTATATATCATGCTTCACCATGTTGCCAGTTCCTTTGGCAGAAAACGACTAAAGGCCACACATGACAGAAAAGCCATACCTTAGAAAAGAAAGATCCACACAGCTCTGGAGCTCTGTACCATCGCGTAGCAACATAGTCCTGCCAAGAACAACAGGAAATAACATATAAACATGCATATCCACTCATCTTTAAGGGAAAAGGGGAAAAAAAAAGAGAAGGCATGCTAAAAACCTACATACCGTCCAAAAGACTGTGGTTGGGGTGTCACTGAATGCAACTCTTGCTAACCCAAAGTCACAAACTTTAAGTTTGCAATTTGCATTTGCCAATATATTCTTCGGTTTAAGGTCACGATGGTACACATTAGCTGCAACCAAGAACTTCGCAATCAGAATAAATTTGCAATTACTTCAAGCACCCTATCTCAACCAATTTCCTCTCAATTAAAGCATTAAAAGATATCAAGGATAGGTAACAAAAGCTAAGGCAAATAGAATTTACTTCGATTAGAGAGAGAGAGAGAGAGAGAGAAAGGAACTTCCACCTTTCATTAAAAACAGTAAAAATGTTGCCAATTATGTAGATGACAAGTCAGAAGCGAGTAAAAATGTATCATGACATTATAAACACTTAGAGAAATGAAAACAAACAGCTTTGTACCTGTATGCATATATTTCATTGCACGAAGCATTTGGTAAAGGAAAAACTGGTGGTGTTCACGCGTTAAGTCATCATTAGCTTTGATGACTTGGTGAAGATCAGACTCCATGAGCTCAAAAACAACAAATATGTCTTTGAACTCCCTTTTTGATGGTGGCAACATTATACGCTTAATTTCAACTATATCAGGATGTCTAAGAAGTCTGAGCAGCTTGACTTCACGTAAAATCCTTATTGCATCAGATATGTGCTCAAATACATCATTTATTTTCTTGATTGCCACTTTCTCCCCAGTATGTGTGTCAATTGCTGCACAAACAACTCCATAGCTTCCCTTCCCAATAACTTCAAGAATTTTGTACCGGTTTGCATCCCCATATTCAGTGAAAAAGTCCATCTCTTTTAGATCCTGAAGAATGAAAAAGAAAAATAATCAGAATTATGCATGATCAAGTGATTAGTAAATTATCTATGGTTTAAAGAAAAGAAAAGGTAGCAGCAGCAGCAGCTGGAAAAAGAACAAAATCATGCATAGCTGGATCCCACAGAAGGTGCCATAAATAAAATATCTATGGATTTAAAGAAGAGGAAACACTAGCAGCAGGATCAAAAACAGAGCAATGGTATAGACAAAAACTAGCGCCAAAGCTACTAGTATAACATAATTGGATAACCAGTAGCAAGTATATGCTCCCACTCAAACTACAGGTTTAAGCAGACTAGAAGTTAAAAACAGGTTCAAGACGTTACAGATGTATGCAAATCTTTGTTTTCGACTACCTGCACACAATAAGTAAAAACTATTCAACCTAGAAGTTGCTCGAATAAAGCCAAAACCAAGAGCATTCCTACAGCTTTAATAGCCCTTAAAGATGCAGAACTAAAAGATAAAAAAATAGATCCAAAAGTCATTGCTTTGGGGAACAGAATTAGGTTCCAGATGTTGCTCTTAGCTTTAAGTTTCTATTAGTCAAAAACTGAACATAGAATCTAATAAAATAGATTCATTTCTTGGAATTGCAATCCAGCATAAATGCAAATCAATACCACCTTTAGTAAAGAAAGCCAGATCAAACGGAATCCAAATAACATTAGTAGCCATCTTTATCATGATATAAAAAGCAAAACATATTTACAGGAAGCCAAAACAGTGAAAATTGAATAATCTTCAAGAATTGTTTGCAACATTAAGCACCAGCATCACTTCAAGTATCGCAACCAATTTCAACATCTAAAAGCGGCTACTTATTTCAAAGTTAATTCCTCCCTTATATGGTAATATTAGGGCAATAAATCACATCAATCAGATAACCATGGTCATCCAACGGAAAACTTTTAATGTGAAACTTCTATTTTGTCTACTCTACTGGCTACAAATAGGAAACGAGTTTTTAATTTTGAAACTTACAGTTGATTTAATAACGTGAACTTTCAGTACACGTCAAGGTGATTTTTTTTCTTTCTTTTTCTCTATTAGTTTCTTCATTACAACAGAAATGTGAACTCAATCTGATCTCGTTAAGCTCTCTTCGGTTCGGAACTATGCCTATTCAATCTCAATAAACAATTAAACCCAAACATTAACAAACAAAAGAAGATCCAACCCAAATTTCAAAATCCCAATATATCTCCTCTCATAACAGTTCACCTAGAAAACAGCTAATAAAGCTACCAGAAAGGGAATTGATGAAATCTATTTAACTTCAACAAACTTTAACTTTAAATAAAATCTCAAAAAGTTTATTAACTTAGAAATCCATAAAGCCTAAGCCCAGATCCTTCTTCCAACAAGAAATCATGAATAAGAACCTTAAAATTTTCATGTTAAACCATGTTCAAGACAATCAAAAAAGTTAAACTTTTCCACTTTCATGCACCAAACCCAGATCTTAAATTTCTTAAAATTCTAAAGCTTTAAAATAAAAAATACTATCCAAACTCATACTTTCAAAAAAAAAAAGAAACAAACCTTCTTCAACTGATCCTGCTGCATCTTTTCTCCTACCCAAATAACAACACCAAAAAGATCTCTTTTTTTTTTGTGTTTTTTTCGCTTCTTTTTCTAGTTCTCCCTCAATAAACAAAAAGACCCAGAAACAGAAACAACAAGAAAGGAATTATCTCGGTAGCCAAACACAAGCAGACTATAACGAGAAAATTATCCGCATTATCCCAACAACAAGACCCTGCTTCTTATCACCAATCACGCAAAGCAAAAGCTTCTTTACCCTTCTTTAAATCAAAGTTGTCCAAGTTCCTGAATTCTGGGTCTTTTGAAAAAAATGTAAGATCTGGGAGATCAAGTAAAAAGAGAGCTCAAATGGGTTTTCTTTGGATCTTTAGGAAAGAGAGAGGAAGATGAGTGGTGAATGGAATATAACAATGTGAATTTTTTTTTTTTTCCCCTTATTTGAAGTTTATTTTTATATTGGAAATAATTTTCAATCAACCGATTTTAATATTATATATTTTTCTGCCGGTTCCTTGGTGGGTTGGTACTTTGTATACGTACGGTAACTGGCTTTTTAGATATGTATACTGCAATGGCCGTAGATTGTAATTTTGTTTAACTCTATGTCCCTATCTAAAAGTTGGTTTGAATTTTCCATTTATTCATAGATTAAACGTAATTACACTTGCAAATAATTATCCAACCAAAATGGAGCTTTCTAATTAATTTCGAATACTCAAAACATTTTGTGAGCTTAATTAAAATTTTAAAATTATTTTATATAGATAGATTATAGTTACCCATAGAACCTTATCAAGACGTTATGTTTAAATTTAAATTATTAAAATTACTATAATTTTTTGGTATTTATCTTAATATTATAGTGTGTAGTTATCCGCTATTTAGCAATAACTTAAACTCCGAATCAGTTGATATTTTGTTTATTCCTCTTTTTATTAGTATTTTTTATTTTTCATTTAATATTTGTTGCCACATGCGTTGCATGAGAATATTTATTTTTAATAATTATTATATATATTAATAAAAATATTTTTGAAGTATAAAATTTGAATATAAATAATTTGTTTTTTTATTATTAATCAATATAAATTATTCAATACTATCAAATATACAATTTCTGTTAAAGTAATTCAATAGCATTAGAATTCTTATTTTCAAATTGAATAGATTTTATTAATATTTATAATATAAATACTTAAAATAAAAATTCAAAAATAAAATTAAACCGTATGCCATTTAGTAATTGTGCCTACTTCTTAATTTGAATTCCAATTCTTGTATAATACTATTACGTATAATTATAAAAATTATTTATATAATAACATAAAAATTATTGGTCAAAATGACCTTTCCTTAAGCTTAAGTCAATTTTTAGATATAAGGTTTAAGGATAAAAGTAAAATATATAAAAGAATTTATCATCCAATTCTATTGGATTAAAAATATTCCTCCACTTTTTTGAGAGGATTGGGTCGTATTATCCTAGAAGGATGACTAATCCTCTTTCTTTGTATAGCCCACGCATGTTTACTGTGTTAACCCATTTGTATTTTTTAATTCCTTGGCTGCTAAACCGAGAACAGCATTAAGGTCAAAGAGTTATGACCAGAACAGTAAGGTTAGAAAAAGGGCTTAGTGTTTATGATTTACCGGACCCTTTCCAGGAATATTCTTGCACCTAGGAATCGAAGGGGAAAAGAATTGGAACAATGATGGAAAGGGGGAGAGGCTTATTTAGTTAACCTACTCAATTTGAATTGGAACAGTAATGGAAAATCAGAACTTAATTGTCAAAGATATAGGTTTTGTTCCTTCTGCAGCTTTGACAAGAAACAAGTTGGAAGAATACACTTAATTAGGTACAAAACTACAATTAGAATGGATGGGATGTCATGATCCTCAGCAGTAGGGTTGTCTCTTTCAATGTGCCCCATGGTCAGGGAGCCTCGACCAATCAAGATATCCACATAAAATGACAGTAACAATAGAGAAACTCCATGGAGGTTCAGGAACATCTTTCCATATATATATATATATATAGAGAGAGAGAGAGAGGTTATGTTACTTATGTAGGGATTAATTAAGAAATAAACAAACTAATTAGAAACCAACTTGATGCTTATAAAGGGAAATTAAGGATAGAGAAAAGTTCAAGGAAATTAGGTCTAGAAAGGGAGTAGTCCTTCATAAATAAAGATAGTGCATGTTGCATTAGAAAAAGTCCAGCCAGGAAGGGGAGGAGGGGGTGCATGGGAATTGCTTTGTGCTATACATAAAAGCATGCATGGGAGTCAAACCTGGAGCCAAGTTGAGGGGACCAAACAAAACTAAATTAACATGTAATTAAAAGAAAAAATATTTTCATTATATATAAGATATGTATGAATACTTATCTCTTCTCGTAAATCTCGTCCCTCCAGTTGTGGAATTTAAATATGAAACCTCCAAATTGAAATCTTAATTAATTCTTAATTGTTGGGAGGACATCATAATATATATGTCATATATGATACTACAATGAGACAGAATAAAGCTTAGGTGTGTGAAAAAAAAATAAAATTTTATGTAAATGCATAGAGTATATAAAAAGTATATTTGGAAAGTCAAATACTGATATTTAATTACATTTACTCAAAATTGAGGACAAATGAATGGTCAATATTTTTTCCTTGAAATATGCAACCATTATCTTTGTCTTTCATCACAAGGTAAAATTATTAGTCTTAAATTAATTCAAAAACTAGTAAAGTTACATTAATTGCACTATCATGGCTATGAAATAAATTAATAAAATTAGTTATCAAATTGAATAAGTATTAAAATATACCAATATAAGGTTTTCAAATTTGACAATTAATTTAATAAAAACTTTAGTAATTGTCACAAATCTAATTATATTAGTAAAAAATAAGAAAAATCTTAAGTTTGTAAGAAAAGATTATTTTATTTAATAGATATATTTTTTGAGTTAGAAGTATGGTTTTGTAATATAACACTGTAACTAATTAACTAGGGTTTTTAATCTTCTTATTTCAGTTTCATTCTTTTTTTTTTTCACCAAAAAAAAAGTCTTTGAAATTATTTCATATATGTTTAAGTTTTATTGCTTTTGTAATTTCGGAATAATTAATGGTAAATGAAATTAAAAGTTATATAATGTGCAAACTGTAGAGAATATTACTAGATGTAATTGCATTTGTATATTATTACTCTTATTATAAATTTGTTGAGAAAAGGTCACATCATCTAGAAGCATCAAACATTGGAAGTTTTAAAATTGAGGAACCAAAATTGTCTCGTCCCCACCGAATTTCTGTGGTCTCTCTCCCACCTTCATCAAACGCATACGTGACACCATCCTTACCCTGAATTTATTTACACACTTAAATATTTAATTTAATAATAAATATGAATCCTATTGAAATTAGGCAACATTTATGTCCCGGGACTATTACTTTTTTTTTCAAAAGATTAATTTAATGGAGTGTACAACATCACCATTTATAAGCTTTTCAAAAAAAAATTTATTTATTTAATGTGAGATTTTTAAATACATCTTACTTACTTTTTAAAACTCTAAGTGTGACATCTTTGATTTCATGTCGTTTTAAATTTATATTTTATAAAATTTAATTAATCATATTGTTTAAAATGATAAAGATGAAAATTAAAAAATATTGATCATATAAAATTAATCGTGATAATTTAAACAAAAAAGTAAACATAATAAATAAATTTAAATAAATTTTTATTCTTCTCTTAAGTTCAATTAAACTTCTATATTTATTATTTGAAATCATATAAACCTTTAAGATTAATAATTAATTAATTGTTATTAATTAATACGTCACTTATTATTTTATATTTATATAACGTTGACGTTACAAGTAAAAAATTTTATATAACTATTTTATCATATCATACAAATATATCATATAATCATTCACTACCATATGTTAATATGTCATGTTAATATTATAAGATATAAAATAATAAGTAATATTTTAACTAATCATAATTAATTAACTATTGATTATAAAGATCTAAATATAAAAATTTAATTAAATATAATAAAAATAAAATTTTATTTAAATTTTTTTAAATAATTTAAAAAATCTTTAAAATAGTATGCCAAGAAAGTTCGATTTAAGATTACGTAGGACTACTGGTTCTCAAGTCTTGTCCCAATCACCTCCACGTTGAAAGCTTTGATGCCCCACCAAAACGAACAAATCAACAAATGAAAGAGTTTCTATGTGGTTTTCTCTTTCTTTCTCTTTTCCTTTGCTAGCTTTTCTTGTTTACATGGATTTAGTAACTTTCTTTCAAGGTAATGGAAGAAAAGCATCAGAATGGGTTCAGCTGTCCAAATCATGGAACTTCTTTAAGGCAAGCATATAGCTTTTCCACCATGGGGAGGCAGGAAAGGTAGGAGGAAGCACCTGTCTTTTAGCACATGATGTACAACAAGCTATCTACTTCTGAAATGATACTATATATTTTAGTTCTCTTTCTACATGGCAAGGAGCAACTACCACACATTCAATTATAATCCAAGCCATATGAAACAATTGCTATAATAATAAAAAGGTTATAAATCCCAAAGATAATTCAAACGATGGGTTTGCCATAAACAATGGTTTTGGAGGAAAATCCTCTGTTATGTGGAACTGGATATAAAGTTGCTTTGCTTTGGGAATTTCAATGGGGGTGTCCCATGGTCCTGTACAAATCACTATGATCGTTATTGGTTGCAGAGAATTATTTGTATGATGGACCACTAGGAAGGTTGCCTGCTTTGGAGGGGCATCTTAGTTCTTCTCAACCTCAGTAGCCATAGATATTTTCTTGCTCACTTTCCAACTAGTTAGAGCACATTAAATACTGTCCTTTACATGCCTTGAACATAAAAGCATATTCTTTATTTTTTTTTTAAAGTGGTGAAAATAAAATTGAAGGGAAAAATTTGGGTAGAGTTTTTTAAAGTGAAGTTCATAACATCACTTGCTCGTTAAAAATAATTAATTAATAATTAAATTTGAGAAAGCTGCATAAGTGACTTGTAATATAAGATCGTACAAGATTGTGGTTCATTTGGTTCTTTTTTTTTCTTTTGATCAAGAAAAAGAAAATAAATTTGAATATTAAAATCGATAAATTGATAGAATTAAATTATTAAATGAATAAATTGTAAAATTAAATTAACTAGTCGAAAGAATAATATGAATAATATTTAGTTTCTGTAAACTAAATATGTTATTACTATAAAAAGAAAAAGGCGAAGGGCCAGATCAGAGAATGTTGAAGCCGAACAAAACCATGTGTCTCCAACGTATTCAAGAAAGACAAACGAAAATCTTGAGGGATGGATTGTCTCTTTGTTTGTCTTTGAATATCCAACCATTTCAAGCCAATCATTTTGCCTTCAAAGAAGGGTCATCAAT